ATGTCCCTTAATCTGCTTGCCGTCCTTGGAAGGAGTAGGCGGCGTTATCCCTGGGTTACGACGGGTCGTGCATCTCGTTCTACGTTACAGTTGGTCGGTAAAAATTGCATGTTCAACTACAATCACTCTACTCTGGTGGTGTGGGTAAGAATATTTACAGCACGTTATGCTCAACAAAGACTCTTACGGTAAAGCTAAGCCCCCAAAGACAAAACCAAAAGCAAATATGGCCAAGGTCCTTTGAAAAACCTTCGCGGCGCCGTCAACCGCCAGACTGACACGAGCCAGCCCAGCTGCTTACGACTGGCCCATGTCCTAATGACTCTTCCCCTGCAGATGCCGCCAGCGCCACTTCCTCCACGCGAGCCTGTGTGCACGTGAGAGGGCTCGGGGACGCCGCTCGCAACGAGGTTGTGTGGACATTTCCGAGTCGTGCCGGCGCCGCCGCTGCCCGGCCGACACGCTGTGCGCGCTCGCCCCGGACCTGCGCCTCACCTGCCTGCCCGGCGTCGCCGGCCGGCTCCGCAACTGCGCGCCCGAGCCGCTGCGGCTGGCCCAGCCGTGTCCCGCCAACACCGTCGTGCTCGGCTTCGGACAGGGCTGCACGTTTCTGCGCGGGCCGGCGCGGCACCTAACGCGTCGGCTCCGCCGCCGGCTCTGACGCTTGAGGCCGCAGCCAGGCGGCCGGAGCCAGCGCGCGGCGGGCTTGCGTCACGGGTCTGCCACGCCCGCGGCGGCGTCAGAAGCGAGTGCTTTGGACGTGTCGGTGGAGTGTGACAGTCTGAATTGTCCGATTGGCACAAAGTGCGTCTTAAGACCGGACGGGGAGTACGGGTGCCTTCCGGAGTCAGCGTATGAGAGCGCAAAATTGTGGTTCGGGAGGAAATGAGATTGTCCCCAGCCCTGCCCAGCGAACTCTGTCGTCGCTGGCTTCGGGCAGGGCTGCACATTCTGTGCCTCCAAATAACGCGACTGGACCCGCCGTCCACAGCCTCGTCGTCACGTAACAGCAAGCGCCAGCCAGGAGCATACACAAAATGCTTGCGTGGTCGCCTTTAATAGCCTCCCGATTCTCTGTGGGGAATGCTTTGACATCACCAGTCACTGCGTTCGAAAAGGGTGTTCAAGCGACACAGTTTGCGGTGTTAATTTAAAGGGAGCTCCGGAATGTTTTCCAGCGTCCGTGACAGCCTTCCAGAACTGTGGTCCGGACAAGAACGTCTGGTGCAGCCGTGTCCGGCAGATGCTGGGTCCTCGGATTCGTGTGCAGGCCTGCACTTTCTGCGTGGCAGGGTACCCCGTCGGCCCCGTATCAAGGACAGAACCCGCACCCATAATACAACGAGGAGCAGCAATAGGACCGAAGCCCACGTTAGCACCAGAACCTACGACAGGACCAGGTCCCGGGTAAGCCCAAAGCCTGAGACAAGGACCGGAACTCAGGGTTGGATCAGTAACCGGTATTACATTAGGACCTCCGATCCAGGACGTGGCCAGGAGTGCACGCGCACTGAGCACAGCCCAGGAACAATCGGCAAATATTTGTATTACGATACACAGCACTTCAAAAGGTGCTGAAAAGAAGTGCAGGGAAGTGTCGGCCGCGTGTGAGCTGAAACAGTGTCGTCCCGGCACGTTGGCGGCGTGTCCATGGATGACGTCATCGGCTGCTTCACCGCGTCAGTGCAAGAATTTGAAACCCTGTCGGATGAACATATCCGGCCACGTGCGGTCCTGCGCTGAGGCAGTAGAACCTCAGCGGCCCCGAAGACGGCTGCTCTTCCGCATGTGCGGCGGCTCCCTTGACTTGACGACCTCGCCGCCAGGCGGCTAGCACCATCGGTCACGTTTGAATTGCACGGGGCGTCCCGAGGGCGCGGCGCGTAACACAGGAGCCGTGTTGCGTCAATGCTGAGGCAGCCTCTTTGCTGAAGGCGGCATAATCCGTGCACACACCAAATTTGCAATATAAATGATTCACCGACTTTGTCGTGTTTAGATGTTCGAGTCTGTCTTCAACAAGGTCCACACGAGTCGGCGGTCGGAACTAGACTATTTCTGTTCTCCGCGAGACGCTCTGCCACCTACCGTTCGGTCTAGATACTACTACTCGCGCGCTATACTCGGTACTCGCACATCCCCCACCATTCATTCAGCCCGCGGGACGCGATCGAATGACGAACACAATTTTTTTATACGCGAGAGGTGATAGTGTACACTAGACAATTGAACACGACAAGCATGGCGGGGGAAGCGATCGCGGGCCGGTAGGGAGACGGCGGCGGAGCGCGGAGGCTACAGTGCGAAAATACGGGGTCGAACACTAAATCTACCGCACACGGTGTGCCTGCTCACTCCCTCACATGGTCTCAATTAGACGTTCGCGACGCCGGGTAGCCCGTGCAGACCGTCGCGGTGGCGCTGTGAAGACGTCGGGCGGCGCCTCTCCAGCCGGGGTTGGACATGGGGTCGGCTCACTCAGACGTCCCGAACCCCCCGCGAGGGCCGGCTCGGGCGGGGGCGGTGTGCCCGCCGCGGCCGTGGTCCAATGCGAATCGTGGTCCCCGGTCTTGATCCTGTTAGGGAACTGGCCCCCGGGGTCCAGGCTGACAGGGAGTCAACGTTTCCGTGCTCGTGGTCCCCGGCCGACTTAAACACCCGCATTGTCTTGCGGTGTCCTCAAACGGTGCCAAAGGACCTCTGGTTGATATTTAAGGCCCTACAGGCCGCGATTTTTTATGTGAGCTGCAGCCAATCTTTCGGGCCCTTATGCCCTTCAACCGGGCCCTTAATCGTCGGTTCCGTTGGGCCGCCTGGGCTTCTCTTCGCGCATCATCAAACACTGCCATTGGTTGGCTCGGGGCCCTTGTGACTCAGCACCCTTTGTTAGGCACTGTGGGCCGCTGACAGATACAGGGCCCCCGACCAGAGTGCATCGCTGGCCGCGGATTTGAAGCTGGTTGGGAAGTGAGCCCTCAGTCCATACCGACAGGGAGCCGGCTGTACGTTACTGGTGGTGCCTGACCGACATATAGACCTTTATCGAATCAGGGATTCCTGATCGGCACAAAGAGCCCCCTGACTGCCATCTGAGAACCCGTCCCCGCAGGTTGGGGCCCCTGAATAAGTCCCGACCAGCCCTTCATGTCCTTGGACCCTCCAATCGGGCCCTTGATCGTTGAACGTGGTGGGCCTTCCAGACTCTTCACCTCCTCGAACACTGCCTCTGGCCGAATTGAGGCCCTTGCCAGCACAGCGCCCCCGTCAGGCGCTGTGGGGCCCCGACCAATGTAATCGCTGGCTCCGGCTTTGTGTCTACTGGGAAATGAGCTCTTATGCCCATGCCGCCACGGGGCCGACTGTGCATTATTGGTAATGTTTGACCGACATATAGGCCCTTAAGGTCTTAATCGACTATCGATCAGCGCGCAGAGCCCTGTGACTGGCATCTCGATACCAGACCCTGTGGGTCGGGCCGCTGATACCAGGCCGACGTCCTGCCGGCCTTACGGGGCTTTGGGCTTAAGAGCCCAAAGGCCCCGTAAGGCGGAGCCCTAAGTCATAGGTCCCGAGGGGCTCAAAAAGCTCTCGAAACCTGAGGGGCACGTGCCACCTGTAACCCTCCCCTCTGCATGCGCTACTGGTCTGATTCCATCTCGTTTGGTTCCCGTCATGTTGGGTTGTGTTTTGTCCCGTACGAAGTCACCGCAGGCAGCGTGGTTTCGTGACGTCACCCCCACGATCAGCTGAAACCATTTGTGACTGACAACATTTTCGCTCATCATGCGCACCCAAGGCTGTCTAGGCGCCACCCAAGGCGGCGCACCGCAATTATGCGACGGCTGGTGGCGGGTGCTGGATCAAACACCGTGCATTGCTACGCATTGATGTTGAAATGTATTTAGAAATGTATGGTGCATCTACTGATATCAAATTATCATGACACATGCCGGATTTGGCTGTTCAGGCCGTTCAAGAAGTGTAGGGCCTATGTTGGCAATACTGTCTTGCCGTTGATCGGGCATTCAATAATTTATATCAATGCTTTTTATTTATGGTACTCTTGCCTCCATATAGCATTGTTGGCCAGGTCAACAATACCCATAAGTTGAAAGGGTGTAGGTGTACTTTCCTACCCAACATTAGAAAAAATCATTTTATCCCATTTGTCGTGTTTAAGGCGGAACGTATCGTAAATAATCTCAAAACAGGTAGAATCACGCGCCTACCTTCAAATTTTAGTAGCTACCACGGCGAGCTCCCGAGCGCTGCACGCACCGCACCGCCTCGATTCCCCAGCGCCGTTTCTGCGTTGTCGTTGCGTAATTACAATATTGCTGCTTATGAAGAACCGTAAAAAATGTACGAGACCAAGGTAACAATAATAATACGATGAAAATCGTTTCTTATTGCGTTTAGGTACATTTATGAAACGCACAGGCCAGAATAATTCAGAACATAGCCTAAACTAGCCTAACCTAACCTAACCTAACCCAACCTGACCTAACCTTACCTTACCTTACCTTACCTTACTGTACCTAATCTAACCTAACCTAACATGGATTCTTGTTACCTTGGCCCCATACATTTTTATGGTTCTTGATGCTGATTGATGCGCAGTAATGTTGTGACCGCGCGCAGTAATGGCGCCAGTGTCGCGACTGCTGTGTGTTTGCGGTGGTTGGATGTTCGGTATCATAATTAGTTAAGTTCCAAGGTAAGAGTATAGATGACATGTTTTGCGATTAATTATTATATGTTCTGCCTTAAAAACAATGATTGATGTACAGTGCTTTTTTGTAACATGAGGTAGGAAAGTACACCCTGACCTAAAGAACACTATGTTGCATTTAAGGTCCATGGAACTAAGAAAAGGATGACAGAGTCATCCAGAGTGATACTGAATGTCTCCCACAAGAGAAACACAGCAACATAGAATTTAGAGGAACACTGCCAATATTGCATGATGGTGAGGAGCCATGTGAAGTGACGCTGAGTGGGCCATGTGGTGTTGTGTCTGAGGGCAGCTTGCTAGACCTGTTTGCTGAGGTAAGTTTTGTACACTCCCACCACAAGGGTGTCAACACCCCTCAAAGCTGCTCCGTTTTTCTTTTCTATGTCACTTTGAATGTATTTGCATGTTCATATTTCTCAGTTATTTTGTAATATTGTTTAATGTCTTCTTTTCAGTGTGTTTTGAAAACACACCTGAAATGCTGCCTTTTACCCCGCTTAAGACTGGTTTATCACGTAATGTAGATAATTTGTGCATGACAGTGTGCCTCAGCTTGAGACCATGATTTGAGCAAGGCATTAAATGACAACACTTTATTTTCAGGGAGCATTTGGCACCAAAATAGCTGAAGAAATTTTAGAAAAATATCTAAAAATCCAGGAAGCGGTGCTAAGTGGAGAAGATGTCTCTGACAGTGACATGTTCTTCCTCCTTGATGCCACCCGCAGAAGGGATCGGCATGAGAACAAAGAGGCAGCCACAGACGTGGGCTTGTCGGAGGCTGTTCAGGCAATGCCCAGGAGTGCTTCAGATCATGATGAACTCATGTCAACTGGCTTGCCAGACACACCCTCAGCAGACAGGCTACAAGGCATGGCACACCTTGAGGAGCCTGCTGCATGTGCAGACAGTGGCGGTGACAGCAACAGCATTGACTCAGACGACGACAGCGACGATGCCCGGCCGGCGGCCCCACTCCGTCGCCGCCTGGTGCTGCAGCCAGAGGAGGTGCTGTTCCTGTCGCACGCGCTCGGCTGCGTGCGGGTGCGGACGGCGAGCGGCGAGGTGCTGGCCAGTGACGCGCTGTTTGGCCACCTGGCGGCGGGTGACCGCCACCTAGCGGCGCGCTACGCGGCGTACCTGGCGCTGCGCGGTCGGGGCTGGGTGGTGCGCGATGGCCTGCTGTCCGGAGCCGACTTCGGTGAGTAAATTCGCGGTCTGGCCGCCGCCCTGCGTACGCTCGAGAGCTGGCCCCTGATGGGCTCTGATACAGGACAGTGCAGGGGATGCATGCAGAGCCAGTGACGTATGGTCATCACGTGTGCCTAGATGGATTCCGCAATCCCTAGAGGGATTGCGGGAGCCGGAATCCGGGGCGAGCTCGTTATTGAACGCCCTCACGCCACCCACGGATAGGTCTTCTGTATGAGTTAGTTTCCGTGCTTGTGCTTTCCGGATTTATTCTGTACCCTCAGAATGTTTACGCACGTGTTGGCTCACTTCCTCCTCACCGCACCATGCCACTGTTATGACCCTTCGGTTGCATTTTTGTGTATGGACGCCGGGCAAAACTCGCGCTCTGCCGATCAGGAAGCTGAGCCGCCGCGTTTGTTTGCGCCGACAGTGGTGTACAAGCGCGGTCCGGCCTTCTACCACGCGTCGGTGGTGGCCTCTGTCCAGGTGCTCAGTCTCGAGACGCGGCGGCCGGTGGCCGAGCGCAACTGGCGCTCCTGCAGCTGGCTGTACGTGGCCGGCCTCTGTCGCACCGCCGAGCAGGCGGCCAAGGTGCGTGGACGGATCGCCACTAATTGAAACAGTGGGTTCCCCACGGACCCGCTTCTCAGTCGCCATCTCCACAACCTCCTCTGTCCTTGCCTCTCCCCGATGTTGTGGTATTGTAACCACGCGCCTGCTATTCGGGCCCTTTTGCCCTCAGGCTTCCAGTTTCATGGCTTCGCCACCTTGGCTGGACCCTGGTACCCTCGGCTCCCGGCTCTCGCTGCCGAGTTCAGTCCAGCGAGCAGACACATTGCAATCCTCTGATCCCTAAGGGGGTCGAATTATTTGCGCGTTTAGATAATAGCTGGGTTACCCCACACCTGAAGCGGCTTTTAAGCTTATTGGAGCAAGTTCCAAGGCTCCGTGTCCGTGACGCGTCTCGGGTGGCGTGCTGACGACGTGCGCCGCCGTGCTGACGACGTGCGCCGCTGTGCTGACGATGCGCGTCGCCGTGCTGACGACATGTGCCGCCGTGCTGACGACGTGCGCCGCCGTGCTGACGACGTACGCCGCCTTGCTGACGATGCGCGTCGTCGTGCTGACGACGTACGCCGCCGTGCTGACGTGTGCGCCGCCGTGCTGACGACGTGCGCCGTCGTGCCGAAGACGTGCGCTGCCGTACCGAAGACGTGCGCCGCCGTGCTGACGACGTGCACCGCCGTGCTGACGATGTGCGCCGCCGTGCTGACGACGTGCGTCGCTCTGCTGACGACGTGCACCGCCGTGCTGACGATGTGCGCCGCCGTGCTGACGACGTGCGTCGCTCTGCTGACGACGTGCGCCGCTGTGCTGATGACGTGTGTCGCCGTGCTAACAACATGCGCCATGCCGCGCCCCCGCTGACGCAGGCCGATCACCTTTCGGACAGGACGTGCTGCTGGTGCGGCTGCTCTGGCCGGACGGGCTGGAGCCGGCCGGCAGTCTCGCCTACCTGAGGCTCGTCAGCGTGGAGGAGGTGCTGGTCCAGCGCCGCACGCCCAGGCGCGAGCCGGAGAGGGGCCCCGGCGGGCAGACCTGAGGCTCGCCAGCATGGAGGAGGTGCTGTTCCAATGTTGATGTGGCTGTACGTGAGGGGAGGGACGGAACTTATGGTGGCTTCGCCGCGAGGCAATGAGAGGGATGTGTATATTATTGTGTGTTGGCTTGTTTTGGCGTTGGTGGTTCGTACTTACGGTTGTTGGTCACTTGTGTGTGGTAGTTATGTAATTGACATTCATGAACTTTACTTTTGATTTGTAATAGTATTTTAATTGGTATTATGTAGTGTTAAGTTGAAATACGCAATAGCATTGATAAAGAGGACGCGTGAATGTCGCGTGGAAAGCTGTCACATTTCAGGTTCATTCACGCAAGAGCATGTGATTGAATCGCTGGGGAGGAGTCACCTCAGACCTGCCGGGGAGCGTGGTGCATCTATCCGCGGGTGTCACGTGTTTTTGTTCGTCTCCACTGCGCGACTGCGGTATTTTTGGTTGTGTTTGGCCCGTGCGCCTGTTCTAGACAACACGCCAGGACAACGAATGATCGACCATTCCCTGCATACGCAGACTCCGTCAGACGTGGAACATTCGGCGCTCAACATTGGACATTGACACATATTAACCGCCTAGCGCTCGGGGCTGGTCGTTCTTGCGTCCGTCCTTAAACTATGTGAGCCAGACGGAGGAATCGCAGACCTTTCGGCGGTTTATTAAGATTCCCGACGCTCTTCTGTTTTGTTTCTAGATTACCTCGCGTTCGTCCGCATATTCGCATATTATTTCCGATCCGTTTTGTGCTCTTAGGAGTACTCGTAATATGACATATTACCATGATCACGTGGTATACCAATGTGATGATAATATGTGTTCTTTGCATTGGTATGAGTTGCGTACCTGTGCGTGGGATGTTAAAAAGTATGGCTGCTATCAGGATCCCCCTGTTTCATTCTTTGTCCGTTCGTGTCGATGATGAATCGGTCGGGTGACCGCGGATAAATTACAGTGAAAAAAAGATTTGGCCTGGCTCCTGGTTGCGTGAACGAGCAAAGAAATAATCAAGAAAAGAGAGATTTAGATGGGAGAATCGTTCACGACTCATGTTGAAGAGGACACATGACACATGTTGAAGAGGACAAAGCCGCGTAGCGTAATGGTGGCCGGTATGGAGGGAGTGTCATGCGACCAGGTTACAAAAGAGAAACCTGCGCTGCAGGGGCACAGGGGGACGCTCTGATCTCGTCTGCTTCCGTAAACATGGCTACTCAGCCCGTAATGTAGCGGACTCCTCTGGTCGTAACGGAGACTGTTGATGCCGTCATGGTGCAGATGTGCCACCTATCGTGGCTGATGGTCAGGATCGTATTGAATATTGCGTATCGCCATGTTGGAATGTGTTGACCACAGTGGTAGATGTTCCAGCTCTGCAGTTTCGCTGATGTCTTTCGATAAGTTCATTGTAACAGTTCGTTTTCTGCATTGTTTTTGGGTCTCTGTGGCGTGAAATTTATCACGTGGACTATGATTTCATAGCAAATAGCTGTCGCCGTTCAAACCTTTAGTGCGTAATACCTCCAGTTTGCTGTATTTTCATTCGCTGCGCAACGCACATGATGCGTTTGCCTGAGATAACCATCGATTTCTCGAGTAGCACAATCGTCCGTGCGTTCTTAGGGAACCTCCGGCTTCGGTGACTCAAAATGAGGAAGAATTCTCACGTTGTTGCACAATAAAGATAAGACATATCACGTTCACTTGGTTTAACATTGGCAGTGCAATCAAAACGTGTGTAAAACCACACGCACACGTTTCGTCGTCGCAGCTCCTGGCATCTTGCCGTCACACGCGAGTAACAAGATGGGCGTACACACCACATACATATTTAAGCACGCCCTGTGCTTGACTTGACTTAGACTAATGCGTAGTGAACGTGATCACGGAATGTGACAAATGATGGCTACTCGCTCCCGCCGATGATACGAAACGCAGTGCGTCAAATGGCCCATTTGATGCCGCCGATTGCACAGAGAACAAGTCAAATGCCCACATAACGCGGACCTATGCCGCGACGGGCGCCCCTGCTGGACGCGAGGTCACCTCCCGCCGAAGCCGGTCGTGACCGGCCGGCGTGACGGGCGGCGTCGCGGCACCGTCACCGGCCGCCGCCGCCGCCGCCCGTCACAAGCTCGTACACCATGAACACGCAGCAGACGTTGGGCGTGACGTGCAGCAGATAGGGCGCCAGGCCGCGGTAGAGACCGCGCGGGCCCTCGTGGCTCAGGATGCGCCGGATCACGTCCGCCGAGCCCGAGTAGCTGGCCCGGTGATCCTGTAGCCGCGCCCGCACCACCTGCAGCAGAGCAGGAACGCGGTGTCAGCGGGAACGCGCCGGGGTTGACGCGGCGGTGCTATGGCCGAGTCGGCCCGGGAAGCGGCCCGCTCCCGTCTCCGCAGCTTAGCACCGGCCAGGCAACACCGCCTCTCAAGAGCTCGTTACGCAGCATCGTAAGCCGGTCACTGGACCGGTGCGAGGATAGCCGTACAACACGGCCTGGTCGCCGAGTACCCAGTGATGTCTCGACTGTACGAGCGCCGGCGTGGCCGACTTGTTGGGTTTTGGCACCACTGGAGGCGAGGTGCTTGGGCGCGGGTATCTCGGGCTCTCCTACCTGGTACGGGTACGTGATGCAGGCGGCAAACAGCTTGGAGAGCGCGGCGAACTGCAGGTACTCGAGCGTTGAGAGCCGATGCTGCACCGGTCGGCCACGGCGCCGGTTGTACAGGCTCTTGAGCTCTTCGTACGCCATGAACTGGAGCGCGCCGTGTGACACGCCCCAGATGCCCGGCACGAAGCCCCGGTAGAGACCGCGCGTACCCTCCTGACGGTACGTCTTGCGCAGCGCGTCCAGCATGCCCGAGTAGCGCTTGCTCTCCGGCAACGTGGCGTCCAGCGTCGTCTGGAGGCAGAGCCTACCGAGCGGAGAGGCGGGCGACGTTAGCCGCGTGTTCCGCTGATTACCGAGGCAGTGGCGCGTTCCAACACGCTAAGCCTCGGCATGGACGGAAATGCTGTATTCAGTGCAGTGCGCGCAACAGCTGTTCGTCTATGCAGACACCGTACAGAGGTCGCTGCCTTATCGTGCCTGGATGTCCCGAAGCATCCTAAGCGGACATTCATTCTGTCGCCTGTAGATGGCGCTAAGAGTCACTCACCGAGTGCGCACCACGCTGATGGGATTGGTCAGCGCCAGCGTCAGGACGCCCGCCTCGGAGGCCACGAGCATGTGACGGGCGGCGCCCAGGTCTCGTGACGGGTCGCCCGACTGCATCCACGACTTGAGCGAGCTGTAGCTGCAAACGAGCGGTCAGAGTCAGCATCCAGCCAGCGTCGGCAGGCTGGAGTGGACGACCGGGTCAGTGCACGCGCCGCTCGCACCCAAGTAGGACGATGTCGCAACGGCAAGTCTTATCGCGACAAGTCTGGTGCAGCCGTTCCGGGGACTCAGAAGCACGTCCGGCCGGGTTTCCCGCGCGCGTCAGCCGTGGATTACGGCGAAGTGCCTGCCGGGTCAGCCATACTTACAACATGAAGTAGAGGCCCCAGGAGGCGCCGGCGCCGCACAGGTTGGGCGTGACGCCGCGGTAGAGGCCGCGCACGCCTTCCGAGCCGACGATCGTGGTGAGCGCGCTCGCCACGCTCGTGTACTGGGGGCGCGCGCGCATGGCGCCGCCGTCCACGGCGAAGCGGATCTTGATGAGATCGAGCGGGTGCAGCAGCAACGTGGAGGTGACGCCGCCGGCCACGCCGCCGGCCAGGTGCTGCAGCGGCAGCGGCCGCCGTAGGGTGCCCGGCGTGGACATGGCGGCCGGTTCGGCCCTCACGGCCAGAGTCAGCTCGGGCGGCAGCAGCGGCGCCGGCAGCGAGGCGACGGGTGACTCGCAGACCAGCAGCGGCGGAGCGGCGACGGGCAGGGTGGAGCAGGGCCGGGCTGGGGTCTGTTGAACGGTGGCCAGGATGGCGACGGGTCGGCTCGAGGTGCGACGTTCGCCGCTGGCGGCCGCCTGCGCAGCCAGAGCCGAGGCGACTGAAAAAGCGTTCGCCGCGCCGCGCGGCTTTTATACCCAGGCAGCCGGACCGCCCCAGCTGGCGCCTAACGGCAGATGGCAATGGGGGGGCTTGGCCTTGCTTTAACACCGCCCGACGGCGGCGGTGCTGCGGCCTGGCGGCGTGACGTAGCCGTCACTCCTCCAAACGTGGCGCTCCGATTGGTCGATGGCGGGGGCCGGTCCTGCGGTCGATGGCGCAACCGTGACGTCGCTGGCGTGGGCGCGCTCCGGGCAAGCGGGCGTCGCGGCTGTTCTGGAGGGGCGGCGAAAGCTCTCCATCCGCGTGGAGATCCTGTGGGCTGTCGGTCCTTCAGACGCACAAGGTTCGTCGCGTGTCCATGGTGCAGCTCACTGTTGCCGATGTAGCAGTGCCGAAAAAGTGAGATCGCTCGTTAGGGCCGGAACACCCGCCCGAATGCTCTGGACTGTTCCGGACCCACGTCAGCGCCGGCCTGGCGCCGCTCCTGGCGCAGCGGCGTCATCCAAGGCGGACCGGCCAGAGTACAGAGCGTCTCCGGCCTTGGCTGCAGGAATGCTCGGCCTGGAGCCCAGCCGAGAGCGGCCGCATCGGCTGACGTAATGTGAGCGCGAGCGGCGTCAAACGCGCGCCAGGCACACGGGCCGGGCCACCGCCGCATAACCCGCGTCTGATCCCGGTCCACGGCGGGAGCACGCGGCCCGTGCGTGGTGCCCGGTTGGTCCGGCGGTGTGAACGGCCTGCCGCGGGACCGCACTGGCCGTGAGAGGTCCAGGCGTGAGCATGCTCGTTTCGCCGCTGTTTTTTCAAGGCCGATGGTTATTGCGTCGCTTCGTAACAACTTGCCTCGAAGGTTGGGGCAGAAATTGTTGGCGAATTACTGCTGTAAAACATGACGCGACGAACTCGACAGGTGACCATAAATTAGAATACTGAGTGATGGTGTTGCTGCCCCCCCCCCCCCCCCCAGCCCAAAGCTGCTCATGACCGTAATTTTAAACCTCTAGATTGGCATGGCATCATGTGATGCTGTGACGTGAGCGAGCTGACTTTGTGTAGTGAGAAGTGATGCCAGTAGGGTGGTTTTAAGAGCCCCAGAGAAAATGTACGCCTCTGGTCTTATTTATCGTTCTGCACTTCCGTGGCGTATTTTTTTGAGTCGGGATGGTATCGATTCCGTTCACACGATAAGTCGGTGTCGAGTTAAATTAACCCAACTGCCGACGCAAAAAACCGAGGTAGGTAGCATACCCTAAAACCACATATCTATGCATATATTCATATATACATATAAACGCACGTTGTATATACAGCAACTGAAGCGTCAGTCAGGCAAATAAAATAAGCATGTATGCAGCAAAGCTTTGATGTCAAAAAGAGGTGACTCTGTCGGAATCAATGCCGTAATTGAGTGGTGTTCATTGACTCGGAATCGGAGTCGACTCAAAATATTCTGAAGTGTTCGCGCCGTACTCGTTATCCGTCTTATACGTTGTGGCTACAATCAGAATCGATTCCGATGACGCAGAGCCGAACGCAAGACTGCGTTGACTATGACAGATTATGAAAATCACTGAAGTGGATGCAGACACGGAGGCTTTGACGCTTAATTATCGAAGGGACTTGGCACCGTGTTCGCGTCGACGCTCCCAACCGGTATATCTGAGGGCCAATAAACTTGCGCTACCAAACACCGTTTGAACGTCCAGGAAGCCGATAACGTCTGGCTTTCGATGTTGACGCGACGCTTGTTTAGGCCAGTCATCTCGCAAACGTCGAACCGCAGGCCGGTGCGCTCCAGCAGATGTTACGGCGCCATTGCCGGCCCAACGCTACGCGGTACCAACCCGTCACTGCAACTGCATTGACATTTAAGAAGTCTGGGCCGGGTTCGGCGGCTAGCCAGTGCTACTTCCCCTCCCCCACCTGCGCTCGCAGTCGAGATTATGCACCGACAAAGCCATGCTCTCATGAACCAGGTGCTGGTCGCGCTTAGCGGACCAGTCCGAAACAGGCAAGTGCACAGCCTGGACCGTCGTCCCTGGATCGTCAGTCCCCGCTGGCACATGATTCGTCAAGGCCGACAGGCGCGCCTCGCTGTACGGCAGTGAGAGCGCATGCAGCACAGGGGCGGATCCGGCACGCTCGCTCCGCCTCTACTGTACGGCACGCGTGATGGCCTTTGGCAGCACGGGACTGAAGCCGGCCGATGCCTCACATCCTGACGCGTGTGCTTCGACATTGCCAGCGAGAAAGGAAGGGCGAACGGAAGAATACAACAGACAATGACAAAAAAGCGAACAAGCACTTCGCGGAGATCGGAAGCAGGTTCGTAAACTGCGTGACGATCCGCTGCATTCTATGGGACACGATTAACAGGATATATACCCACCAGTGCTTACATTTGTTTGGCGATCAGGCCTATCCATAAAGAAATTTGACATCTTAGAATAACCAATGTTTTTAAAAAATCAACCACGTCGCTACAGCGTGTACTGAACTAAAAGAAGGTATGTTAGATGTCGGATCCTTCCAAGAAAAGCGGTTACTTTCCGGCCTGCATAATGTTGTCGCCGGCGTCTCAGTCGGTGCTAACGTCTGCTGTTGCCACCCGGCTTCATTGTACAATGCGACACCAGAGACTAGTTTGTGCGGTTCACCACGGACACAAGAGAGTGAGGTTAGTCCAACGAGCTTTCATCGTACGAACTTCTGCTGTACGAACTGCTGTCCTACGATCTATTACGCATTTGCCGGGCGAAAAAAATCTTACTTTAACCGCGAGCGCAGGCGATCTGGAAACATATGTGCCCTTTCACGTACTTACACCTATCAAAGTTAAAAGTGGCGGGACCACGTTCCTCTTGGTCGAAAAGCGAAAAGCTTGTGTAGGAGTGAATGGAATCAGTTTGCGTCTGATGAACTTTGACCGCCTAGGAATCGTTTGCGGTGTCCAGTTTCTCGGCGGCGGGTGCCACGTGCGCGAACCCTGCCTTTCGCCTTCAAAACAGCGGTGACCTCGGACCGAGGCCGCTCGGGCGCTGACCGTCATGGACCAGGCACCCACGCCCACCGGGCTTTATCCCTAGGGCTATACCCAGCGACCCTGCAATCAACGGAACTAAACCGACTGAACACGCCGCGGCAACGCCACAAGCCCTAGAAGCTACACCCAGTGACCCTGCAACCAACAGAACTAAACCGACTGAACGCGTTGCGCAAGGCATAAACCCGAATGACTTCACGCTTCCTCAAGAGACTACTGGAGACCTTGACGGCGCGTCCATCCAGCGGGACAGTTGCGGCTGAACTTTGTACGCTCTTACGGCAGGAGCACGTGACTTTGCTCACCGCCCAGCCATCCATACATACAGCACAAACTGCTCTGCTGGCCATGACAGTCAGAAGCGGGATGGCCGTGGATTGTGTTAATCTCAAGGAAGGCGGTCTTCGTATATTTTGCTGCGTGTGAATTGGAACGCATTGTTCCGTCGAGTATAGGAGAACGGGATGAAAGGCAATAGGGGGTGAAGGTAAATGGAGCGGGACTTGCGACTTTGATTGATATATGTAACCATATACTGGGGTGACTTTGTTGAACATGCATATCGGTTAGTATAATGCAGAACAATATATGTATACATATATATATATATATATATATATATATATATATATATATATATATATATATGTATGTATACAATAACAAGTATTCATCTATATTATCTAATCTATTAAAGATATAATAAATGTAAATGTTTACATGCGTAAAAGGTATAAAACGACAAAGTTATGCGCGTTTGAGTTATATTTCGGTTCAGGTAATTTTGCAGCGACAGGTTGTGGGTACATTCGTAGCGACCTGGAAGAGGGAAGAAGCTATGCCGTTGACATCATTCATGGCGTCATACCCCACATTCTGCTTCACCTTTTCGTGTTCGTAGCGACTCGGATGGCAAAGATTATGCGTAACATCACGTAGAATCGTCGCCGGACGCGCCGAGCGGGTTCAGCGAAAAAAAAGGACGACGCGCGCCCAGGACCGACGTCAGGTGAAGGCAAGATGTATTATACAGTGTAGTTTGTGGTTTGCTGTTAGGAGCACGCATAGTGGGTGCGAACATAAATGCTATTGTTGCACGTGTGCAGCTGCTGTCAGGAAAGTGAGAAAGATGTAAGCGGTAGGTAAGGAGTGTAGCGCAGCGCGCACGTCCAGCAGAAATTATATGTGACGTCAAATAGAATGCAACATCCTTGGCACGCTCGAATACACACTGTACCTAGGCTACGGGTTTGTCATATCACGAACCACGTGGAGGATATACGGTGGCATATACCCGCCTGCTGTAAAAGAACCGGAATTAACTTCTTGTCCAGTTCGATTCGGAGGTGGGCCGAACAGATGATTTGGGATGACTGCATCAAAAAAGATGTCGTGGGGCATAGAGGGAGAGAACTTCGTGCTGATCTCGTGCAACATCTGATATAGAAGCGTTCGTGCCGCATCTTATCGCCACAAATGACCGGACAATGTGATGTTAAAAGAAGCACGCAGTTGAACTGAAATGATTTAAGATTACTTACACTGATCGCAGCAAGTATTTTCTTGGATCTCAACGTTCTTGATTTAACATTCTCGGCGTGAACGAATGGATGATGCTAGATGCAGCCCAACTTTTGACAGCTAACGGTGGATAGGATGCAACCTTTCTATATCAGTCTCCTGAATTAACACCGTGGCTGCGTGTGAACAACATCGGAATACCGGAATACCGCGTACCGTTTGATACCGCGACCCAGCAGGTAGGTATCGCTAAATTAGAAGATATTTTTTTCCACTGAGTGTCGGCACGGTGTGCATGTCATTTTGACATATGCGTTATCTCGAACGGTTGATCTAAGAGAATCATTCCAGATGAGTCTGAAATTTGCTGTCTGGTCACTGCTGAAAAAAACTGAAGGAAAGCAAAGAAACTCTGTAGAGGTTATTCCAGCCACCCATCATGGCCGGAAGAGAGTCCCCCCCCC